TATTATAGTGTGGTAGTAGTATATATATATATATATATATATATATATAAATAAACGTGTATTTGTCTGAGTCTCTCTCTCTCACACATTGCTCCTGTCACTCTCTGTGCATATGTATGTGTGACATTAAATCCAACTTCAATAGAGGAGCAAATAGGTGCCGACAGAACACTCATCTATCAGATGTTCTTTGAGCAATACACCACACACATCATACCTGTCAAATGAAGTATCTCGTTCGAATATGTGTTCGCCCCTTACGTGCAAAATTCCTGAAAATTCATAGTTATCGCAGTTCTTGTATACCATTTTCACGAGGTTAGCTGCGACTGTTATATTTTTGGCATAGAGTACTGCGACGAGTACCATCTTACACACATTCAGATATCCACCCATAGTGCCCTATGTTAATATTTTAAAGAAGAATTTACGTTCAATAATTCGGTATGTTGAAGTGTGCAACCATATGTACAGCCTAATTAAATGAAGTTTCTCTTCTCCACTCCAGAATAGGTATAGCTGATGTCTTATAAGTATTGATATGTTCTGGAACTACTACTATAGCAAGATACTTTAGTGTATAGTGTAGGCTATACTAGGGACGTTGGCTGTTCTGCACTCTCCCCTCACTCTTGTGATATGTGTGCACACGAAAGTTACTACACTGAGTATTGTGATTACTGATTTGTGAACAATACACATGCTCTGCTCTATTTATTTATTATTTAGCCGCTTGGGCCTTGGTATTTTCAATTTTTTTCTAAGAAATGTTTTTTTACATAGTGTGAGTCATACGTAGACCATAAATACATATAATCCACTAAATGCGGACGTAAAATTTTAATATAAATACCACCGCCAGATTTCGCACACTCCAATAAGATCATCGATACTGTCATGGATTTTGTATTCACGCCTCACCTGCTCATAACCACTACTCACGTTCTCTCTTCTCTCTCAGAGTCTCTCTCTCTACTGCTGGCTAGAGAGAGAGCTAGTAGTCTCTCTCGCTACTATTTTCTACTCTCTCTAGTCTCTTCTCGGTTGTTGACTTGTTGTGTGTGTGTTTCAGTGTTTGACTGTTTGTGACTTTGTGACTTTGTGTACTACAATACACACTGTCACCCACAGTACACACTACTGACTACGCTCTCTCTCTCTCTCTCTCTCTTCTGGTGACAGCTGAGCGAGTACGTTCAACTGTAAATAGCCTGATTGAAGCGACCAGACAGTACAACAACTCACAACTTTACAAATCACACAGCCTGCAGTCCTGCACAACAACAAGAAGAGTGCACACTGCAGAATTGCACAGCAGGAAGAGTGGACCACACATAAGTTCATCAATCATCAGAGTATAGTGAATACTCACTACTGTACTATAAATAGTTGAAAATACAGTTATTTTTTTTTAAATATATAAAAAACATATTTATTAGTTTGTATAATTTAGAGGGCTATGTTTAGTAGTTTACTGTTTAGTTCGATTCTTCAACAAGTCACAGCTTATGAAAATCCGACATTGCTCAATAAAAACAAAGAAACTGGAAAAAGGCGAAATTACTGCCCTGGGTGTGGAAGTTGATAAACTCATTATGTTTTCTTGTGTGGATGATTGGATGCTGGATGGTCGTGGAGAAATGCTTCAGATTGACTCACTCAGATTTTTGAGTACTTGATTTTATCTTGTTGAGAACGAAATCAATAAATCATCCAACCCTCAAACTCCAGAAAAACCAGTCCAACTGTCTCCCGTGGCCGTGACGCCCGTGAGTCCGTGACTCGTGAGCCGTGACCAGTCTTCACTCTCCAGTCTCCACTCTCCAGTCTCCACTCTCCAGTCTCCACTCTCCAGTCTCCACTCTCCAGTCTCCGCTCTCCAGTCTCCACTCTCTAGTCTCCACTCTCCACACAGGGGGTGAGGCGTGAGGGCCCGAGTGCTCAACGCCCGGGCCAAGTTGCGGAAACTGCCCAGAGGCAGTCTAGCCAGGCCCGGCTGCCCCCAGGGGCCAGGGCAGACTCCCCAGAGTCCCAGACTAGAATTACAAATTCAAAAATTGATATTTATATATATATAAAATAGATGCCGCCACCTACAGTTCGAGCCACCTAAATTGGCCACCATTGTAAGAGCCACCTACAGTCGCCACCTACAGTCGCCACCTACACACATTGTTGACAACATCCGTGAAAATTCCTTTTCAATATATTTTATGTATGTAAACACCACGGAAATTGAGCGTTATATCGAGTTTGTATTGAGCTGTACTGAGTGATTATATAGCTAGTAAACATTGAAGTGAGGCCGGAAAATCATACCAAGCATTTAACTCTGGCGTATGGTATCAGGTAACGCGGGAAGTAGTCAAGAGTCTCCTTCGCCAGAAGGACTCTATAATCGTGGCGATTTCAAATTAAAGAGAGCGAGAACAATAAATACATAATATTAAATTTCGGTTAAGACAAGACATATCTCAATACACACATATACGCGTATTATTAGGCATACAACATACTTGGAAAATTTTCAATTTTATTGTGTATATACGTACAGTGTACTATGGTATGGTATAGGTGGCGACTGTAGGTAGCTCTTGCAGTGGTGGCATCAACATTTCTCAAATAGATGACCCTCTCGCTACTCTCTACTACTCTAAGAGAGAGAGAAGAAATAAAATAGATTTCATCATTTTCATGTACAATTGTAAATGGATGATACGAAGAGTAAGTATGCTCTCTATATGGTTATTTCCCTCTGCATGCCAATGGAGTACATATGGTGCATTGCTGACTATGGAGTATGGAGTATGGACTTTGGACTACATATGGAGTACCGAGTATGAACTAAAAACAAGTAAACATGATCAATGATCATTGACATGACGTATGTTGTCAATTGCGTCAGTGTACAACTGTCAACTGTACAAATTTATACATGTAAATACCTAGTCAGGGGTTTAAAAGAAAAAAGGGGGGGAGGTTTGTTCTATTTTTTAGAGTTTTGGATTTAGGGTTTTATAAACAAATATGTATGTACACAATTCCAAAGCCTTCTAAATCGACAACAATTCATAGCCTCTTGTGTAAATGCAAGACATGAACAATTATTATTTCCCTCGAGAAGCTCGCATCGGGTATTAGTATGCTGGCCAGCTTCTATGCTATTAATATTTATTTAACTACTTACACTGTGTAGTGACTTCACTGCAACTATGTACACAAAGGTAATGGAAGGTTATGTGTACTACTAATCACTTCTATTATATCGCTACAGACAGGTGATGAAATTTATTTATTACTTCTATTATATAGCTACGTAAAGGTGACAAGGCTATCTGAAACACGCAGAGCGATGCTCATTAGTGAGTGCTATTTTGGCAGCTAGTATCATCAACAGAGAACCACAGAGCATTTTTGCACATATACCATGAATGGCATAAGGAATACATTCAAAAATACAAAAACAATTAATAAGTTACTATGTCATTCGGTCAAATTGCTGCAGACTTCCTACGTGCCATTAGTTGCTGGCCAAACGAGGTCATTTGGGCCTTGGTAACGCACAGTCCTACCAATAGTCCAGCCAGGTAAGGCTGTTTGTTAAGAACTTTATTGATATATGGATTAATGGCTGACCTATCTTAGATGCTGTGATTGGCCAAATAAAATGTACTGGTGTACATGATATTCGCGTACACATACAATGAGTACTTATAGTACAAAATAATCCCGTACAATAGAATGTTTGTATCGCACACATCTTATGCAATGCAGACAAAAGCCTATTATATAGGGATGACAAAAAAGCGGAAAAATAGTCTCGACTATAGCGAATTTTTACATTTGCGCATCTCTTAAGAATGTATACATCACCGGTTTTCATAATTGTCT